TTGCATTGTGGTAAACTGTGGTCAATGACATGAGACAAAGTATATGTGAACTGCTGTATGGAAAGTGAATTTGCTCTGTAAATCTTTACCCGAGTCAAAATTAAAAAAAAAAAAAAAGGAAGGATTTATACTCAAAGGGAAAAAGTATTCTGCTGGGTAGATTACTTTGGAGCTTATGGCCTGGACAAACTCTCAAAACCCATGCCAGTACTATCCACATTTCCCAGGAACTATAAAATTCTGGTTTCCACCTACAGCCAGAGTTTACACATGGATCCAGAGGTTTTCATTCTGGTATGTATCTAGTGGCAGGGAATTACAAGGGTAGCTACACTGAAAAATTAACCAAAATTTCCCATTTGCCTTTGCTTAATAGAAAAGACTTTATAGATAAATACAAACTACTCTGGAAAATGATACATTTTTCCAAGCATAACTCAAAATGCATAAACCACAGAAGAGAAACTAGATGACTAGGACCTAAAAATTAAATTCTTATGTGCATCAAAAGACTTCTCCAAAAGAGTCAAAAAAGAACCTATAGATTGGGAAAATACTTGGCAACAACACACTTGTCAAGGGATTTGTCTCTAAAATTTATAGAAAACCTCAACATCAAAAAGACATACAATCCAATCACAGCAGAAAACGGTGTCATGCTTCCTTAAAAAAGCTGGAAACAGAAATACCATTTGATCCAGCAATCCCACTACTAGGAATATATTCCGAAGAGGTGCAACCTGGACACAAACAGCTACATGCACTGTTTATGTTCTGTAAAGTCTGCACATCACTTGCTTCTTCTACTCTTAAATTTTGTAAGAATAGGCTACTTTTAAATGACTGCAAAAACATTTTCAAAACTTTTTAACACGTGCTTATCACTAACTTTAAGCAAACAAACAAATGAATATATGAACAAATGGTATATGAAGCAAGGGCTGGTGCAAAACTGAAGGAAAGAAAAAGAAATGATTCTGAGAAACACTAAAGAATATGCTTGAGTTTCACTAAAGATTATGCTATATGTAATGGCAACACTAGGGTCTTTGGCAGACTTCAGGGAGCAGCTCACCTGGCCAGTTTTCTTGACCATGATGTTGTCACTATGTCTGTCACCAATCCCAAGGACATAAGAAGCTACACAGTAGCCAGCACAGGACAGGGTAAATTCCTCAATAGCTCGGTCCAGGTCATCCCTAAACAAGAGAAAAAGTAGAAGCAACAAGTTTTTCAGCCTCCAAATGTGGGGATGAGACTCAAACTATACTTCTGTGTCCTTCTGAATTATGAGAACTATAGCACACAGCTGCCAAAACCATACGAGCAGAATATATGTATCAGCCAAGGAAGTGAGCATGGCAATAAGAGCAGGATGGCATCAAAGACATCTTTAACTCAGTCATTCACATTCTTGTGTTCTAGGAGCTGCATGTCAGTGGGGGTAGGGGTAAGCTCATGCACAGTAATGAGAGAAGACAACGGGCTTCGTTGGACAATGCTGAGGCTTGGGAACACTTTTGTAAGTTTTGACCTAAGATTAGAATTCCAAGTTTCAGTCTTAAGCATTGCAGTTATAACCATTTAAATCATTGACTTCAATTAGAAGTGAGTAAAACAGACCCTTTAGAAATAAGACTCTATTATCAAATTCTGAAACTGATTCTCACAATTACAAGTCCTTGGATCTTCCCAATGATAAAATTTGAATCTTAGAAGTCTTTAGCCAAAAATACTTGTAGGGCTTTTCCCCTCCCACTGTGAATTCCTTTAATTTCTGCATGTTAGTTTTTAATTTCCAACACTGTTAATTTATAACCATAAATAACACAATTCCAAGCTCTGCCATTTTTAGAGATCACAGTATACAAACTCATTTACTTCTATCAGGTAAAATTAATCTATTCAAAACTTACTGTAATTTATATAGTCACATAATTATAGAAGTTAATATACTTAAAACTTTAATATTTTATTTTAAAAATACTTAAATTCTTAGTAACTTTATATTGCAGGGCTCTAAAATTTGATGTAGAATTCAATGTTAACTATCTGTAAGTCTTTAGGAAAGTGTGCGTCATTTTGATCAAACCTAAAATGAAGCAATAAATAAACAACACTAATATTTTCTCTAAGACACTGCTGATATTTTTGGGAGAATAGTTATTTCTTTAGCTGTCTGTGAAGAACAATGGTAATCAAACAGAATAAACTAACCCAGAATTGTATTCTTTAAGCCAGTTCAGAAGGGCATCTTTGTTGAAGGCTGCGGCGGCTGCCACATTGCTACTGTTCAGCTGAATGTCGGCAATTGTTTCAGAGGTGCTCACAACTTCAATGAGGCCAGAGCGGTCTCCTGTTGCTAAACAGCCATAAGGCAGCATCCTGAAAGGAAAAAAAAAAAAAAGGCATAAAGAGCAATCTGTGTATATTTTCCGTAAAAATGAAATATTTTCTTTAATTTTTAAAGTTTGATTATTATTATTATTGATGCTCTTACCATTACTGTATTATTGCCACATGGAAAATTGTGAGCTTTAGCTTCTGTTAGGGAGTACATCTCTTAGCCAATACATAGGAGTGATTTACCAGAATTCTAATGTGCCAGCTAAATGTATAATTTATTATCTAGTTATTCTGGTGAAACATTCTGTTTGCTGGTATGGGTGCACAGAAACACAATAGATAAAAGCAAGGGTCTTTCTTTTCACTCTAAAGAGTGAGACAGAGAACCACCCTTTGTTGAGTACCTAATAGGTGCCAGGCACCAAACTAAGCATTTTACACACATTATATTGGTTAATGGCAACTCCATCTTTCCAGTCGTTCAAGCCCACAGCCTTAAGGTGATCCTTGACTCTTCTCTTTCTCTTATGTTCAACGTTCAATTTTTACCTTCAGAATGCATCCAGAATCTAAGTATTTCTCCACCTCCACCCTTCCTTCTACAACCACCAAGTCACCATCAATCCTTACCTCATTGATTCAACAGTTTTCTAACAGATCCCCTTGCTGCTTCAGCATCAGTCTGTTCTAAATGCAGCAGCTAACACAATCCACTTAAAATGTACTCATATCATATCACTTGCCTGATTTAAAGTTTTGCAATAACTTCTCATCTCAGTCAACATCTTTGCTATGGCTCATAAGGCCTCATCTAGTCTGGTCCCCCATCATCTCTCCAACCACCCTTCTCTTGCTCGCTTTGTTCCTACTACACACTAGCCTCCTTGCTGGTCCTCAAACATGAGACACAACACTCCCTTACTCCTTTATACATTTTGTTTTCTCAGCTAGGAACATTCTTCCCCAAAATATCTGCATGGCTTCTTTCTTTCTCTCTTTCAAATCTTTGCTGAAATATCAAAGTGGACGCTCAATGAATATTTCTCAATAAGTAAACAAATTTAGCAATAAAATCTCTAAAGTAAGTTCCCAATTCTACAAATGAGGAATTTAAGTACCTTGCTGAAAGTCATACATTAACTAAATTACAGATCTAAGATTTAAAACTAGGTCTGCATGACTTGAATATCATCCTTTTTAACTTAATATTTAGTCTCCAGAGTCACTGATTATGTAACAGTTCTCCCAGGAATTATCTTGTGTGAATGAAAATGGACATGGAGCCTGATTTGGATAAAGAACTGTTGTATGTTTTCCAGTTCACAGTAACTGAATACAGGGTTAAAACAGAGCACCAATGTGACATCAGTTCATCTGCATGCCGATCTCCTGTCTCCTGAGTTGAAGTCTTGCTTCCCCCTCAGTTGAATGATAAACTCTTTGGAGACAGCAACTCTGAGGAGAGGTGACTAAAAATACAGAAAGGGCTTGGAGTCTGTCAGAAAAATGAGAACTGATAATCTCACACATAAGTATACCTGTAAAAACACACTCTGTAGAACAGATTACTAATTAAGATGATCTTTTGCCAAACTGGTTAAGTGATATTTTGCTTTGAATTACACTTATCTGATCCCTAATGAAGATAGAAATATTTTCATATCTCTTTTAGCCATTTTAAGAATTTTTTTTTTTTTGGTAAAATAACTATTCACATGCTCTGCCTATTTTTAGAGTTTTTAACATTTTTTTCTTAGTGATTTCTTATCAGTAAAGGACCAATCTTTGGTCATTTTTGTTGCAAATAATTTCTCTAGTTTTTTAAACTAGAGGAACTCCAACATGGAATGAGATGCCTTGAGAGGTTCAAATAAAGGTCAGGTGACTATAGAAAATGGAATGGGTGGAATTCATATATTCAGTCAATACACACTTAGGTGTGGCTATGTGCCAAGCATTGTGTTAGATGCTGGTGATACAGAAATGAGCAAAAATAGGAGTCCTTGCTCTCACTGAGCTCACAGAGCACAAATGCAAAATGTGCGTGTGACCTCTGTATGAAAGAGAAATGCTATGATGACATGTCAGAAGTTAGAAAGATCTTCCTGAGGAGGAAGGACAATAGGGCTGGAGGAGAGTACAAAGGGGGACACAAAAGCAAGGCAAGAAGGAGAAACAGGAAATGTTGGACACTCATACATGGCCCTACAGACTGTGTAAGAACTTCTATGTTCCTCCGAAAATCACTAAGAAAGTTTCTGAAGGACTTTATGAAAGACAAAGAATCTGAGTGTATATGAGGACATGTGTTGGGGGAGTGTAGGAGTGTGTTAGTTTGTGTAACAATCAGATAAAAGAGGAGAGTTTTATTAAATAGTTTCTAAAATTCCTTCCAACAAATGATAAAAATATTTTATAACTGTATAACCACTTATCTATTACTAGGGAAACTAAGTTGGGAGAAGAATTGTCAAACTACATCTTGGCAGGGTGATATACTAATAATTTGCTTTATACCAAAATTATTAATTCATTTTGCCATTAAAATTTTACCTCAGTAAGAAAGGTAGCTAGCTATGAAGCATGAAAGTTTTTACTAACACTCCTTTTCCTTATCGTGATACAACACATGTGAAGCAAACACCGCCAGGTTAAAGTGCACTCTGGCTCACTTGCAGTCAAACTGGGCACAAGTCCAACAACTTCCTCTTCAAAAGCAAGCAAGGATGAAAGCATTCAATGTCTTGAGGTTGAAAAGCTCACAATGAGAAGGAAAAAAACATCCTTGTCAGAGAGTTTGACAGAAGTCAAGCTGGGGACAAACTCTTAGGGTCCTGACCATCTTATCTGGGTCCCCCTTGCACTCAGTTTCCACACTTCTTATAAAGACATGACAATTTCAGTAGCGTTTACTTTCCTTTCTCAGATTCCTTGACCCAAGGAACAATTTGTTATCTTTCACAGTAAGGCAAGAATTAAAAAATGAAATTCTATAGCAGTGGGACAGATGCCCCATATCCTCACTCAGGACAGGTATGCAGCAGATATTCACTGGTCTTGACTCTTAACACATGCACCCAAGTCTAAGTGGTGCCTTAGCATGCTGCCTCCAAAGGAAGTGTAAATATTTTACCTAAAATGCTTGCTTCATTTCTACCTTCTTCCTTCAACCCTCTAAGGGTACTGACATAAGTATCATTAAATAACTTTTGTACAGGTCTGTTATAAGGGATGTAAACCCCATTAATTAGAGGTTGTCACAATGAAGAGAACGCTCAAAAAATTGATACCACATGGGTTCGTGTGTGTGTGTGTAGGGCTGTAAAACTACCAAAGGCCAGACAGATTTCTATGTAGACAACCTATCAGCTTTGACACAAAAGACTGAGTACCTACTATTGACCAAAGGAAGTCAGAATGTCCTAAAATATTGATGGCTTAACAAATGTTCTTATTTGAAATGAAAGATACCATAAGACTATTATGAGACATCAGTGAACATGAGCAATATGTATTTTTGCTCATGCCAATATCACACTATTAGAGATACTAAAATATTCTGATCTTATCAGTCAAGTGTACAAGGTACCTGAAGATTTGGAATTGAATTTAAAAGAGTGTGTGCTATGTGACCCAGTTTAACCCGAACAGCTGGCCAAAGGAAAAAGAAACACAATAGGAACATTGGAGCACATATATTTATAGAAACAATGAAAAAGGTTTGGTGAGAAAAGGTGTTAGTTTAAAAATGAACTAAAAAAAATTAAAGTCCTGCATTTTTTTTTTAAGCATGAGGGTCAGAGTACAAAAAGTCAGCAAAGATTCCGCTGGATAGACAAGTTCCTTTTTCTTATTAGACACACAATGCTTCTCATCAGACAGACACCAGGTTTATTTCTAGCACTCCCACATGTGCCTGCCTCCCTTTGCCTGAGGTCACAATGAACTTCATTTGATGCTAAATGTGCTTTATATTTGGATAAAATGGATAGAATCAAAACTAAGAGCAAAGAATCTGGTTGAGGCTTTCAATTAGGCTGATGCAACTAAGAAAACCAGGGAAAAATCTTTAGCTCAGCCTTTTAAACTAAAAAGAACTCATCACATGGCCTGAATCTGTTCTTAGCAGAGGGCTCACTGTGCAGTTTATGTGCTACCTTGGAAAGAACCAATGAGTTACTACCCTAGCCTTAAGTTTCCTGCCCCCACACCTCTTTTATGGGATCAATCAAGTAAAAACGTTTTCTTGGAGATTTACTTAATATGAAGGGTTAACAAATATTTGCTGGAAAGGGAGAGATAGTAAATATTTTAGGCATTGGAGACTATTAGGTCACCACTCAACTCTGAAGTTGTAGCACAAAAGCAGCATAAACAAACAAACAAACAAAAAACAAATGGATATGGCTGTGTGCCAAAAAAAACTCTATTTACAAAAAAAAACAGACAGTCCGGACCCCACTGAGTTTACGGTTCTTAGGCAAAATGTTTCTTACAATGACCTGTTTCTTTTATCTAAGCTGTATTCCTTGTGAGCGGTGAACCAAAAAACTTGCTACCTATTCAAAACTACTATTTCTGTTTTTATGCAGCTCTAATTAGAAGTGCAGGAGTCCTTGTGTGGCACAATTAAGCACTTGAAAGTAGCCAAACTGTTGGGGGCTTGAACCAACCCAGAGTCTCCTTGGAAAACAGGCCTGGTGATCTGATTCTGAAGAGTCATAGCCTTGCAAACTCTGTGGAGCAGCCTTACTCTGCACACATGCGGTTGCCATATGAGTTGAAATTCATTCACCAGCAACTATTTCCATTAATTAGAAGTATTTCCTAATTTAGAGGCAAAAATCTATAATCAATAGTGTCCACAGGGTACTTATTAAACTAAACACAATCTCTCTTCCTATTCCAATCATAGCTACAAGACCCATGAAAGGAATCATATCCACAGCATAACATTTTTTCTATCTAAACATCATTGACCGAAGAAGAGTTGATGCTTTTGAGTTGTGGCGCTGGCGAAGAATGCTGAAAGTACCATG